AGGTTAAGTGGCGTGCCCACACAGTTAGTAGGTACTAAAGGTCAAATCTGAACTCAGGTCTTCCTGACTCCAGACCCAATGTTCTATTCACTAAGCCACCTAATTGCCTTAATGAGATATGGCATAGGATTAAAGTGATTTAGCCCTGAACTAAACAAATTATTGAAAATTTAGAAATGAGAAAAAAGACAACAGGAATGACTTAAACACCAAATATAATTTCATCTAGAAGTTTAACCAATTAATTGCAATGGGAAAACAAAACAGCCCAGAAAGTGCTTTAGTCAGCAAACAACTAAATTGCTTGCCAAATGCAGAGGTGGCTGCCAAAGACTGAGTTAGAAACACTGAGTTAGAATACAAATTCATTTGCATTATCTTACAAAGAACAACAGACAATTATGAGCAGGATTGTGCTTCTAAAGCACAGAAAAAGATGGAACGTAAAACCAGTTTAAAGAAAGGTTGCAAGATATCCAATTAAACAAAGACATCCCAAGGGCAAATAAGAAAAAATGGAAAAGATGTGCAAAAACCATTTCAATAAACTGTTTTCCCCATCAAGGATAGCGGAATCAGAACACTCAGACCCTAACATCACAATCCCTAAGGTGTTTCTAGAGGAGGTAGAAATTGCAGTAAAGAGAACAAAGATGGAAAAGCAGCCAGATCTGAGCAAGTTTATTTAAAGGGGATATGTGCTGAAGGCAATACAACTGTGAAGGCATTAAGGGACTGATATGTCAGGTAGCTGAAACTGGGGAAACACTCCAAAGGCATGGAAAAAATCTCAAACTTTGTTAATACAAAAAAACAAGTGATTAAAATATCATTAAAAGATCTCTATGCCTGCCCTCCCATCTATACAAAATCTCTTGAGAGTCATTGTTGATGAAGGCATTAGTAGAGAATAAGCTTTGTAGAAGGCATTAGTAGAAAATAATTGCTTTGAAAGCACTTTTCCACAACGGACTGTAGCCTTACTATTTCACAATTAATGGAACATAACTATCTTTGAAGGGTTAAGCCTTCTCCCTCCCCTACTCTTCGATAGTGTTAGCAGAAATTCCTGAGCCATAAGAGCATCCTGTCTATCTCATCCTGTAGCTAGTTATATGACCTTAGGTAAAAGGCTGCTGAAACTGTGAGGCCCTGAAAAGGGGAACATGCTAACATAATTTCTATACCTCTTTGTTCCCTCTGTTACTGGGGTAGTTTTTACATGAATAGATTGTACACCTGAGGCTCAGCCGACGGAAGGGTAGGGTGGGCTGCCGCGTTAGGGTCTATATAATCCTGCCTTAAACAAAGAGCACTTGCACTTTTGGGGCAGCTTAGGCTTTCTCAAGAAAGTCAATAAAGAGATTTCTCCTTTTTGCAAACTTTTGTCAAGACTCTGGTTTTTTGTTTGGGTAGGTGGGCTCTGTCCCACACAGTTTTGGGAGCTCGTCTGGAATTTAACCCTTTCCTTAGGGGTTTCTCTTGACCCCCTCCTGGGCCAGGCACCTCACCAGCACTTTCTGGTAGTCCCTAGGTTGGTGTCCTGAGATCCCCTTTGGTGAGGGAAAGACCCGAAGAGAGTCTTGACTAGGCAAAAACGAGGAGCTCCACTGCACTAGCAGAAAAATCAGAGCCACCTGTTACACTGAAGCGGCCGTGTAAGTTTGTGTGCACAGACCCAAGTAAGCAAGACCCGTGAGTCCTTGGTGCACCTAAGCAGTTCGAGTCCGTAAGGCTAGGGGAGGGGTGAAAAAGGGAAGCTCTAAGCAGTTCAAGTCTGTAGGAGCAATCCCACGTTTTCCAGGCTGCCTAAGCATTTCGAGTATGTAAGGCATGGGGAAAATGAAAACTCAGAGTGGCAAGGACCAGGATCCTTTACCAAATATTCTGGATAACAGCCCTTTAGGATCTAAGCTTAGTGACTGGGATGAACTTCCAAAGGATAAAAGGAAAGATAAAAAGAAAATGATTAAATATGATTTGATGATTTGAGGATTCTACAGCAATTTGTTGTATGTCATTTTTGTTCCTGTTTGTGTCTATGGTGGTGTGAATGAGTGTTAACAGTGTTTGACAGTAAAAGATTTGGAAACTTCTGGAAAAAAAAATTTCTCTCTCTCTCTATGCATTCTAACTCTGACCAAGTTTGAATGTGGAGAGAAAGAGGGAAAAAAGGAACCTTTCTCCCCTCAGATGAAAAAGAAAGGCAGATTGAACAACACCTAATCTTTTCTGCCTCCATAAAAGAGAAAAGTTTTTGCGTACCAGAACACAAACAAAAGGTAATTTATGGGCAGTCAGGGGCTGTGCTGAGGGGGCTGCTGCCAAGACCATGATGTTTCCCCACGAGCCCCAACTCATTCAAATTGGTAAAAACGTGATGTTTTTAATTTAACTTTTGTATTGTCATGTCAAGTAGCTTTTCATAATTTGAATGTTATTAAAGTAAACTGAAAGAAACTTTGGGAAGAGAGAGGGGGAGGGAGAGCCTAATTTAAAAACCAATAGGTAAAGTTATGGAGAGATGGAAGGAATTATGTCCACCCACCTTTCAGGCTAGATCCGTGGGTGGGTTCTATTAAATCTAATATGGATACTGGCTATGAAAAAGATATTGGTTATTGTGAGTTATGATTATTACTGTTCAATTAATTATCAAACTCCAGAGGTGTCTACCTGGAAGGAAAGCTTATCATACTTTGTCAGCATTGATTCAAATTCCTTAGGCTTGCTTTTGTACTTCCTGGGCCAGAAAGAAGTAGTTAGAATACTGGCCCAGCACATTTTAAAGTGACCTGATTACAATAGGTGATTCCTAACTGTTTGTAAAACTTTCGCAAGAAAATGTGGACATGAATGGGGAACTGAAATATTGAAGAAACATATGAATTTGTGGATAATATTCCTTTATAAAGGGTCAAGGGTACTGAACTTAGAAATGTGTATTTGCATAATTTTAAGAGCACATATTGTTATTTGGCATTAAGAAATTTATTAACTATGGCCCCAAGAAAGTTTTATTTATTTTAGTTTACTGTTCAGTAAGGGGATGGTGGTGGAATTCATTCCCAGGGATATCACGAAGATTACATGATTGTAAAGGTGCTTGGCACAACGCTTAGCATAAAACAAATGCTATCTGAATGTAAACTGTTTTAAGTTAAATATAATTGCTTCATACTTGTTAACTTTATGTGGATTTTCTTTGATGTGAAGTTTATGTTAATGGTGATGAGATGAATGATTAGCAACTGTATCATCTGCGTTGTCAGAAAAAGCAATTTCTCTTATAATCTAAATGTTGTTAGGTTAAGAATTGTACTGTAAAAGGGAAAAAAAATTTTTTTTAACCCAGGCCTTCTTAAGGCTAACAACCGCGTTTGTTGGGGGATGGGCAGTATGAGCCAGGCTCTTAAGGCAGGGACTAGTGGTCGTGGAGAAATCTGGGTCTTCTACTTCTTCTATTCCTCGATGCTTAAATGGCAAGGGAATAAAATTATTTAAATGTTAATGTTTTAACTAACAATGGTGTTATTTTTAAAGAAAACTGAGTTTAGTACCTGTTATTTCACATCTTTCACCAGTACCTCAGCCCTCTATAAAACTATTGCACATAAGATATCTCAAGTGATAAGTTTAACTTCTCCATCACTGAATGACAAATGTGTCTGGTGTATATCATAACACAGACCATTCTCGCTTTACGTAAATTCACATTTTGCAGATTTGACTTTATATAAAGAATTCTGAAAGAAATCTGCATTCAGATATACGAGGAAAAAATAGAGAGCCAGTGTCTAATAAAGCTAAGGATAGGCATTTTTAGTTAGAGATGAATTTGAGAACTCTAAATCATGGAAGTCACAGTTATAGAGGCTAGTTAGATGCAGAGTACAGACATCTTTGTCCTGTCCAGTAGCTTTACTGAATGATATTTCCCATCCCCTTTAACAGGTAAATATGACAGCCCTCTCATAGGAGAGGCTGCAGTACCTACAAAGTGTAGAAGCCATATGTGCCTTCCATGTAATAAACCCTTTCTTACCACATTTTCCTGAGCCTGCCTGATTTAGTAGAGTGAAGCCCTAACAAAGATTATCTTTCAACGCTTCATAAAAAGAGTTACACAGCTAATCACCAGCGATAAAGGCTAAGTGCAATGGGTAGAAAAGGTGCAACATACTGTACAGCTATGTTAACTTTACTGCCCAGACTTTATTATGAACTTTACCTTTCATTTCAATAATTGTTTATTTTTGTGGTACAATATTGCTATGTCTGCAGTTTAGCATTTTATGACTTGTATAAAGGTATTATTTTGTGTATGCCATTGTCATATAGGTTAAGGGGAGTGAGCGGGTAATTCACTTTACATAAAAATCACTTTACATAGAGGTCTATGGAATGGTCCACTTAGATAAAATGAGAACTGTCTGTATATACAGAATAACCCTGATTTGAAGTCTATTACGAGGACTGAAGCACAACTGGCTTTACATTAATTTCACTTATGCTTTTCGCCATTATGAATGCTGCCTTAGAGTAAAGGATGACTGATACGAATGTCTTTTCTGCATTCATTACATATGCAGTTTCTCTTTAGCATAAATTTTCTGATACTGAACAAGGCTTCTAGATTGAGTAAAGGTTTTGGGTTTTGTTTTTTTTTTTTACATTCATTAAATTTAAAAGCAAGATTTCATTTTCCTTGATGAATTATTTGATGTTCAGTAAGGTACAAAGGCTTCTAGACTGACTAAAGATTTTTTCATATTCATTAAATTTAAAAACAAAATTTTATTTTCCAGGGTGAATTATCTGATATTCAGTAAGGTATGAATTCTGGCTGAAGGCATTCCTATGTTCAATATATTTATAGTACTGACTCTCTACTATTGATTCGTGGGTGTTTTGCAAAGTTTGTGCTTGGGCTGAAAACTTTTCTACTACATTTATAAGAGCTTTATCCAGTATGAAATCTACAATGCTTAGTAAGATGCTCCCTCTGATTGAAGGCTTTCCCACATTCATTACACTTAAAGGGTTTCTCTCCAGTATGAATTCTCCAATGTCTGGTAAGGTTTCGACCCTGACTAAAGGCTCTACCACACTTAATACATTTATAGGGTTTCTCTCCAGTATGAATTCTTTGATGTTGAGTAAGGCTCCTACCCTGACCAAAAGCTCTTCCACACACATTACAAAGATAGGGTTTCTCACCAGTATGAATCCTCTGATGTTCAATAAGGGATGAGCTCTGGCTGAAGGCTTGTCCACATTCACTACATTTATAGGGCTTCTCTCCAGTGTGAATTCTCCTGTGTTTAATAAGGTTTCCCCTTTGGGTAAAGGCCCTCTCACACATATTACATACATAAGGTTTTTCTCCAGTATGAATTCTCTGATGTTGAATAAGGCACCTACCTTGGCTAAATGTTTTCCCACATTTATCACAATGATAAGGCTTCTCTCCTATGACACGTTTCTGGTGCTTCATAAGGCTCTGTCCAAAAGCATTTCCACCTGTATCACATTTAGGATTAGTTCCAACACGGGAGGCCTGATGCTGGATAGAGGAGGAACTGGTGCTCAAGGCTTTTCCACATACATTACATCTGCATGGGCTTCTTCCAGTGTTAATTCTCTGTTTACTAAGATGCCCCCTCTGGCTGAAGGATTTCCCATGTTCATTATGACTGTGACCTCTCTCTCCTGTATCTCTTTCATGTTCAGAGAAGGATGAATTTTCACCAAAGGCCTGTCCACATTCATCATGCTTACAGGGGTTGTCTCCCAAATGAATGCTGTGATGGTGAACAAGATTTGTGCTCTGCTGGAATGTTTTTCCACATGAATTACATATATAGGGTTTTTTCCTAGTATGAATTCTCTGATGTTGAGTAAGAGATAACTTGTTACAGAAAGCTTTCACACACTCATCACATTTACAGGATTTCTCTCCTTTATGAATCCTCTGAGGGTTAGCAAGAGATGAGCCATCAGAGAAGGTTTTCCCACAGTCACTGTATTTGTAGGGCTTCTCTCCGGTATCAGCTGTCTCCTGGTTAGCAAGGTACTCCATTTGGCTGAAGATATTCCTACATTCATCGTAATTATAAGTCTTCTCTCCAACAGGACTTTTCTGTGGTTGATTCAGGTATTCCTTTTGGCTAAAGTCTTCCTCATATTCATTACATGTGTATGATTTCTCTTCCATGGGTACTTCAGGATACTGAACAATATCCGATTGGTAGCTAAAGCCTCTAGTGCATTTGCTATATTTACAAGGTTCCTTCCCTGAAGCAATTCTATTACGCTTAATTAGGTCGGATAGCTTTTGGAGGGTCTTTTCACGTGCGCCACGTTGATGGAAACTCTTTCCCACAGGCCCAGTTTGTTGTGTCACAAGGATTGACCCTGGACTGGAATTTCTCTGCAGTGTAATTTTTTTCACTCTATTGGGGGTTTTCTTGTGGGTGATTAGTACTTGCTTTGAATCTCTCCTGAAGTTCCCCTGCTGTTTTGTCTCAAATCTGCCACCATAGTCCCAATCCTTGACCAACAACTCAGGACCATCCTTTGTTAGTCTTTCGCGGGATGATTTTTCACCAGATATATCTTGCTTTGAATTTGATTCCTTGGTCTCGTGTCTAGCTTCCCAATCTGAAAGAAAAAAAGAGGATTCCCTAGATACTGGCAAAAAAAGGAACATCTCACTGCATTAAGAAAACAGATGAGGAGCAATCCTCCTATGCACACCTCGCCACATGGATCACTTTTCCTGAGAGGGCTTTGCCTATTTTTACAACTCTAGACTAATTTCTCTACCACAGGTTCCCAAGCTTGAGTGTATGCCTATTTTTAAGCACCCCAGTATATGACAAATAAAAGCACAACTGCAGACAGCTAACTCATGTTGAAAAGATGAATTATGAGTATTCAAACTAAAGATTTCTTTTTATCTAAATAATGAAGTTAACTAAATGAGCACAAGAACTTAAAATAGTGCTCAATTCTTAAATAATGCTAATACTCATGCTCTATTTTGCATTATGATTTTTATATATTTTTAGTCCTCCCTATTAGATTATCTATTCCTTGAGAGCAGAAATTGTGTTTCATTATCTTTATATCTTCCTTATCAGGTCAGCCAACATGAATTTAATAAACACCTACTATGTGCCAGGCACCATGCTAAGTGCTAGGGATACAAAAAGGGGCAAAAAAAATTCCCTACCCTCAAGGATCACACAATCTAACTGGAGGAGGCAACAAGTAAACAAATATGTACAAAATATATATAGGATAAATAGGGAATAATTAAAAGAGGGAAGGCATTAGAATTAAAAGGGGTTGGAGAAGGCTTTTGCACTTTGGAAGGAGAGCATTCCTGGCATAAGAGACAACCAGAGAAAAAACCTAGAACCAAGAGATGAAGTATCTTGTTCATGGAACAGCAAGGAGGCCAATGTCACTAATCAAAGAGTACATGGTGGGAAGTAAGATACAAGAAGACTGGAAAGGTTGTTGGAGAGATTGGGGGCAGTGGAATGTGGAGGGGTGCCAGTATTAAGGGTTGTGAATGCCAGAGCAATTTGTCTTTGATTCTGCAGTTGAAAGGGAACTGGTGGATTTTACTGAATAGTGAAGGGTGTATGTGTGTGTAATGATTTGACCTGTGTTATTAGAAAATCAATTTAATGGCTGATAAATTACAGTGGAATCGGGACAGACCTGAGGCAGGCAGATCCATCACGAGGTTATTGTAATAATCAAGGCATGAGGTGAGGAGGGCCTGCACCCGAGTGGTAGCATCGTAAGAGTGAAGGTGACATATTCAAGAGATGGTGCAAAGATGAAACTGACAGGCTTTGGCAGCAGCTTGGATATGGGGGATGAGGAATCCAGAATGACTCCTAAGTTGTGAAGATGATGCTGTCCTCTACTGTAATAGTGAAAGTAAGAAGCAAAGGGAGTGTTTAGGGAGGAAAATAATAAGTTCTATTTTGGACATAATGAATTGAAGACATGGGAAATGCAGTTGGAGATGCAAGACTGGAGGTCAACATAGAGAATGAGACAGATGGAAAATGTCGACTTAACCCCTAGTAGCCTTTCCTCAAGGGACACGCTGTGTCTAGAAGGAGATGGCGGGTTCAGAGCAGTACTGCACCTGCAGACTCAGGTCTTTTCACCTAAGAAGACTACAAGGCAGCAAAAGAAAGTGGCAGAGTGTCTGAGCAGATGAAGGATGCCTGACCTGGCCTCTAGCAGCCTTTCCTCAGGGGAAATGCTTTTTCTTTTCCTTTTTCACAATTCTGACCCAACAGTTAACAATTCCAATGATACTCTCCTTGAATCTCTCTCATTGGAAGGCTCAATGAAAAGATGACTGCCAAGTGGCGGATGCGCTGTAACAGGAGTTCCTTTTAAGGTATAGGCTTGCCTAGATCGTTGCTGAGATCCTTTCTGATTCTAAATGTCAATGATTCTGTGGCCTAAAAGCAATTTCTTGACCATCTCCTGTCCTTGTGCTACGCCACAAGCTTTCCCCTTGCCTGAAATGCATTTCCCCCTTCAACTCACCTGCTAAAACCCCGCCTTCCTCCAAATGTCTTACTAGGACGTAGCTGTCTATGTTCACATGTTACACCACCTTCCTCACTTGAAGAGCAGAGACCATTTGATTTTTATGTACCCAGAACTTAGCTCGATGCCTTACGTGTTACAGGTACTTCATGTCTGCTGAAATCAGGTGCTGAAATGAATATTCTAATTCCTCTGCCATCATACCTACAAGATAAGGGGAAAATTCCTTGGCCAGCCATTTAAAAGTCCTCGAAATATATGACTGATCCTAGGTAGTCAACTTGGGATCTCACCCCTTGGAAGCAATCATCCTCCAATACAATCAGGCCACGCTTCTTCATGCCTCCCTCTCCCCTTCCTTGCTATGTAACGTTCATACACGCCTTTTCTTTCCAACCACATTTAAACATCCCCAAGCACAGTAAACCAATTTTATGCTTTGGAACAATTCTCCTCTGGGCCTGAAGCCATGTCTACACATACATTTGCCAATTCTTATGCACTCACTGCATGCTCAGAAGAGTGAGGCTGGGAAATGTCTTCTAGGGAAAATACAGCCCCCAAGAATGGTGAAAGAGACAACTCTCTTGGGCTTTGGCTAAATTCTCAGGCTGCTGTGAGGAAGGCTCCTTCTTCACCATTTCAAAGGGGCTTCATCCATGATGGATCTGCTGAGCTGCTGCTTACACAGCCTTCCACCTTCCTGGTTCTCAGTCACTCACCTGGACAGGAACCTTCGGCAACTGCTCTCTTCAGAGCCCATGGGACTTCCCCTTGTTCCAGTTGGGAGATCACCTCTGGTTTGGAAACTGGAAATCCTGCTCATCCAGAAAGAAAGGTGAATGTGATGGGACAGAAATACAGAGCCTTCTCAGGTCTACTCTAGCCCCTTCCAATGCAGGCCAAGAACATGAGTTGTGAAGGCCTAAGGCAAGGGCTCTTCACCTGATATGCGGGAATGTTTATGCATTTTAAAACATTATTCTGGGAAGGAATCCATAGACTTCACCAAACTGCCAAAGGGATCCACGGCACCAAAAACCCCCCAAATCCCCTGAAGAGCTGGTACAAAGTATCTTAGAAAGCCACTCTGAACCGCGCAGGTGTGTGTGGGTGATCACAATATGGATTCGTGGTCACAAATAGTGATATAAATATTAATAGATACCACCTTATATTTATGTAATACTTTATCTTTTACAAAGGACTTTCAATATATCTAATTTGTGCAAAACAAAAATTCCTGAGAGGTAGTGACCCACACTTTGCAGATGAAGAAACTGAGGCTCAGAAGCAAACTGACTTGCTCAGGTCACACAGTTATTTAGTTCGGAGAGCTGAGATTTGAAACCAGACATCTGAATCAAAGACCCATGCTCTTTCCAAAGTCCTAGGCTGCCTCCCTCTCTGAGGAATTTTTTTACCTTAAGGCCTTAGAATTTTAAGGAAAAATACTTGGAACATGGAGGAAGATGATCAGGAAGAATCCATGTCAAGGGCAGCATAATGACATTCTGAGTTTCTAGTTTTATGTGGACTTTCCTCATGGGAACAGAGAGCATGGATATCCTGCCTCTTGGCACCAGAGGCATAAAGAATCTTCTTTTCCTTCACCTCAAGACAAAATTCAGCTGAGCACTTTGGATACCTCACAGCCTCCAGCAAATGAAGGTGCAAAGACAATCCAATGAGCAGATTCTGAGTTCTGGGGGAAGCTCCCCTTACCCAGAGAGATAAGGTTCTGATAGTTCTCCAACATCACATCCCTGTACAGATTCTGCTGAGCAGGGTCCAGCTGCCCCCATTCTTCCCAGGTAAAGTCCACAGCCACATCCTGGAATGTCAGTGCGTCCTGAAACATCAAACAGGTTCCTGGTCACCTACCAAACATCATCCCTCACTTGGCCACCTCAAGGAAAATGAGGATTACAGCCCATACACAAAGCAGAGCTCCATTTTGAGGGGACCTTGCAGAGGGGTCCCAGTCATACGGGCACTGCATGACAAACTCTAGGCCTCACTTTGTATGAGACTTTAGGAGATGTATGTAGTTCTGGTTTGTTAATAAAACTGCCCTTTGAACATTTTCTACCTGAGTGAGACAGACCTCCAAACCACAGAAAATACACATCTATTTCATATTTCATTCTGACCTATTTCAGCTACCAGCCTCACCTGATCCCGGACAGTTTCCATGTGAGTCTTTGCATCCATCCATTTTAAAGCTTTGGCTTGTCCAGTACTTCTTCCTTAAGGGTTTCTACCCCTCATCGTTCCAAAGTCCTACTTTGATGCTTTTTGTGCATCAAGGAGGATTCTCTGGTTTCTCAGGGGTTATGCAGAGGGTGCATGAGTTCTAGCAGGTTTACCGCACTGGAAAGGCTTTGATTATAAGCCTATCCTCAGGCAATAGCTGCTGTCCAAGGAAGAAACCTTGGTATGTACAGCACTTTATGATGGATGCTTTGGCCAAAGCAGCCAATGACTCTCTAACTCCTCCCAAAAAAATATGAAATGAGCTTCAGTCTACATGTCTGCCTACTGCTTTTACGGGGCAGAAACGGGCAAAGAGTACTAAGAATCACAGCTGTTGGAGTGTTTCCAACATTAACTTCATAGCTGGCACTGTAAATGTGAGGTCCTTGTCTTGTGACCAGTGATGGGGCATTCTGCCAGAGAACATGAATGTCATTTAAAAAATGTTGATATAAAGGAAAATAAAGACAAAAAAAAAGGAGAGATAGCTCATGTAATATTCTTTGAGAAGAAAATAAAAGAATTGCTAAAGCTGATTTACCAATCACACATTCAAAGGCAAAAAGAAATGTCCTTTCATAGGCCTTTGGATAATCTCTCAGAATCCCAATGTTTATGATGGGAACGAGCCAACAAATCATCATTCAGACAGCTTCTGTGCGGTCCAACGATGGTTTACAGTGGAAACACTTTGTTAAGTCCAGATTGATGCGTGTGTTTATCTCCTTCGGTAGAATGAGAGCTCCTTGAGGGCAAACATCACAGTTCTGTGCCTGTTTTATATCACCACAGCTTAGTGCAGTGAAGGAAACATACCAAGTACTCAAGAACTACTTGTTAACTGAATCAGAAAACACCTTCCCACCTACTTTGGAGAAGTGGGGGTTCATAGGTGTTGAACACTGGACAAAACATCAGAATCTTTTTTGACTGTTTAATTTTGTGGAACACTTTTTTCTTTTTTTATTAATTTTTTAAAAGTTACCATTTTAAGGGAAGGATCTCTGGAAGAAACTGAGGGAGGCAAATGATGGCAAAAGGAGGTGATATAAAAACAAAAATTGACAAGAAGAGTGTATGTACAAGTCAAGTACTGACCTATATGCCTTCTGCAAAATAAATACTTACAATAATAATCACCAGATGTATCAAGGCCATTTTTAAAAATATGAGATGGTAATAGGTAGGCTTCCACAAATTATGGATTACATTGTAGACTCTGTAATAGACCACATCTTTATAGTCATGCAAGTGTGTGAAAAGTACAAAGAATACAAGACCCCACTTCTTCTTGTTGGTTGACTACAATAATGCATTTCATTCAGTAGAACACAACGCCACTTTAAAGAAACTCCTCCAACAGGCCTTGATCATGCCTACATCAAAATTCCTGTGAAAGGTAAAGGAGAACTTTATCCCTCTGCCTTCTGGTTATTAACATCACCCAATTAACAAGGAGACATACATATGCCAAAGATGTGTGCCACTGACAAAAAGGATGTTCAGTGATGACTCTAAATGCAGAAAGGATTTCCTAACAGATGGAGAGGTACTTCAGATGATCCTCTTTGTGGGTGATGTGGTACTGATTACATTAAACCCCTGAACACTACGGAGACTCCTAACCTCCAGATCCATAATCTCACAAGCGTTTGGTCTGACTATCCACACAGAATAATTCAAGTAGAAGAATGCCTAATGTCCAGATTACAGCATACGATTTTAAGGATAGTCCATAAGACTGCTCCATCAGTACATATGTCTTGGATAGACATTGCAGATGGGTAATGAACAGGGCCTAAAGTAGAATGAGGAAGAAGTAAGGATGGCTTACACTGGGGAAATTGTGTATTGATTCTCATGAACCAATGTTCTCCCTGCAATGACGACGCATCTTCATAGCATCAGTATTCTTCAGGTGATGTATTGCTGTGGGTCAGAAAAATCAGTCTCCAGAGAATTAGTTTTGTGTCACCCACACAACAACGGAGATGGCCCAGTGAGAGCAATGCATTACCAAGTGCAAAGGACGACAAAAGAGATCTATGAATGGAAAAGGAGGTGGGTCTTTCATGTATCACAAGCAAAGGCTAAATAAATGATGACCAGTCTACACACTCAACTGGCATCCACAGTATGTCAAGAGATCTAGAGGAAGGCTTTGTGTATGTTGAGTGGACCCTCTGTGGAAGGTTTTTATAAGGACCTGGACAAGAGTAGTAAGGAATGAGATGTGGAGGGAACACTCATATCAAAAGAGACTGCAGATCCATCAAAGTACAAAAACGTAGGAATTCAAAGAAGGCAGAAGGCAACCCGAGCTAGAATAATGATGGAAGACTTAACGAAAGAGATTAGATTGTAGATCTAAGAATCTCAGAGTTGGAAGATACCTAAAAGCTCATTCAATGTAGCCATGCCTGAACAAGCCTGACAGAAAACCTCCAAAAATGGGAAAACCATTATTTCCCAAAGCAGCCTATTCTACTTTCAGATATCTGTTGACAAGTTTTTTTCCACGTAAAAGGCCTCACCTCACAGCAATGTCTCCCATTGCTGGAGAAATAAAGACAAAAATCAAACAATCCAAACTCCTTATGATGGATGGCATGGAGCTTCTTATACTCTTATTCCAGCCAAATGTAACAACACTCCTCAACATAAGCCTTCTGATATACTCATGCTACTGTTTGCACTAGTTTTTGCCAATGTTCTTCTTGTCAAGATATTAGAAGACACTCTGTTTTCCAAGGCTAAGATCCAGTGAGCAAGCTGTGCCCTGAGCCTAGCATAACAACAATCCTTTGTACTCACCCTCTGGATAAATCATATAATTTTTGTAACACTTTGATATGTGTAATGATTATGCCAACTATTTAAATTTGTTGGAGCTTCCCTATTTCCCAGGGACCCGAGAACTGATACAACAGCCAACGCACTGCAGCAAAAAGCCATCAATCATATCTCCTGACACTGAAAAATTCCTGGGCTTGTAACTGCTAAGTGAACCAAACCAGGGGCTGCACTCCTGTTCCTGAGCCACTTGCTCTGGTTCTGTACCTCACTGAACTACCACAAGGCTCAACTACCCTCACAATTTGAGACAAACACAAGGCTCGACAATTCTAATGACTTAAGGACTGTTCCCACAGGACCCAAGATCACCTGAATTGTCCCAAGAAATGCCAACTGTGGGAACTGTTCACTCAAGACTGTGTTGGGTCCTGCCTTTTTGTGGTTCTCAGGTGTAAAAGCCCTACTCCTGCCATAAGCCACAAGTCCTTCTTCCCAAGAGGACTTTGGTTTGCAAACCTGTTTTCCTCACTTTGAAATTAAACTTCTGTTTGATTCCTGACTTTCTTGGTTTTAGCACACTTTATTCAGCTCCAGCCACCCACAGGTTAGAGACCAGTTCCGATCTGGATGTCACTCTAAACTCTAAGCCTTCTCCCCCATCCAACTGATATCCCCCAGCTAATGATCTTTCACGGTTCATGAACCCTTCCCTCCCATTCTATCCTAACTTGATCTGTCTCTCTGCTAAACAGACAGAGCACTTATTGCCTGCAGCTCAGCTTGGCTCTTACTCATGTACTTCCTTGTGTCCTTTTATAAAGGTTTCCTACGCGTTGCTCTGTGTTGGTTCTGTCTCCACTTCAGATGTCTTGCCCAACAATGTGGAGCTCAGTGAAAACAAAGGCTCTCTTCCAATGCTATCTTCACAAATGTCATAGCATCTTGCACAGTATGGTGATCACTGACTAGGCCTGAAGGAGCTTCTGGATGAATGAATGTTGGGTAGAGGGGTGGAGGAGACATTCATCAAGTGGAGACCATTCCACATAGGACACATCTTCCAGGAAGCTGGGGTTAGTCATCTGAGGGAAAGGTAACTAGAGCTCAGGTTTCTAAAAGAGGTTACACTAGGGCAAGAAGTTCCACAAGAAAAGAACACCTATCAGCTCTAAGGACTGATCTGGCATTTAAAGGATATAAAAAGTCCAACTCACCTGGGCTCTGCTTGTCAAGAACACAGAACCATGTCCCTCCTCAGTGTTCCCCTCTTGGGTGAGTGCAGAGTCCTCAGAAGGCAGAGCTGAGAAGGAAAAGGCAGAAGATCACTTATCTTACAACTACCAGATAGCTCCTTTCCCTTCTACATGTTTCCTTCCTTGGGGGAAGGGGAGTAACAACATTCCTGCAGATCCAAGTATCTCTCACCTTCCCTGAACTGCCAAAGACCCTGAGAAGACTCTGCCCTGAGACTAAACCTGTAAGGACAATGAAAATCCACCTAAACTCATTACTCAATGATGACTTCTACCCCCACCTTCACCATCATGATTCAAACCTCACTCCTTGTCCCCAGCTGCCCAATCCCTTATTCCCATTCTCCTCAAACCAAACCCAATAATGCTCCACTTTAAAGCTATTAAACCCTACCACTTACTCTCTGAAATATCTGCTCCAAATTCAACAAACTTGCTTTCACCTTAAATCATTCCCTTTCCCACTCCTTTCATCTGCTGGCCATCACTGCCTCCCTTGGGATAGCACAGCCTCCCTGGCTTCCCTTTCCAGCACTGGCTGCACTGTCACTCATCCTCCCCCCCCCCACTCACTGGCTGAGGTGGGGGAGTTGGAATATTCCTTGCTCCCCACTGTCACTTCCAGGTTCTCCCCCTATCACCACCAGTCAGTAACCTCTCCTCCTTTCAAGGCCACTCAATCTATATCTACCACCCAGTCAAAATTCAGATAGCTGTCGTCTACCAACCATCAGACCATTCCCCTTAACCTCAATGAGTTGCCATGCCTGGCTCAGAGCCTTCTCCCCTCTCCAACTCCTGTTCTCATACAAGGGGATTTCAACACACATATTCCCCCTCAAACATGCTTACCCTCCCAGTTCCTCACATTTCACATGAGTAAGTACTCATTTCATCCCACTTCAGCCACAGATGGTCATGACTTTGCTCTTGCTATCACACCAAATGTACCACATCCATGTTCATAGACTGAAATTCCCTTATTTGATCACAATTTATTGTCACTGTATCTCTCCCACTGTATCACTTGCAACTCCAAACCTTGCTCTCCAGCCAAATCTTTGACCTCCTATCTCTCAAGCCCTCAGTTAGAAGGCACAATGGATAAGAGTTCTGGGTCTGGAGTCAGAAGACCTGAGTTCAAATCCAGCTTCAAGATGCTAACTAGCTGTGTGACCCTGGGTAAGTCACTTAACCTCTGTTGACCTCAGTTTCCTCAATTGTAAAGTCTGTCGTGAGGATCAAATGAGCTATCTGCACAGCACTTCATACAGAGTAGATGCCATATAAATGTTTATTCCCTTTCCCTTTTCTCCCCCACTGCCTTCCCTCAGTCCTCTCCCAGGTTAGCTACACTCTTTCATTCCTAATCTTGATCCCTTGGTGAACCAGTTCAACTCTACACTATCCTCTTCTTGTTAAGTCTCTTGTTCTCTTATTACATGGCCTACTGCAGGCCTGCACAACTCGTGGCAGGAAAGTCCATAAGCCACTTGCAGCATGCCAAACAATTTCAGGCGGCCCTCGAAAAATGTAGGGGGAAACATCCTTTGTACACAGAGGGAATCCTTAGGCGGGGCTGCAAGTTGTGCAGGCCTGGTCTATTGTGTCCTGCCATGCCCCAGCCTTGGATCAGTCTCATCATTTACTGCTTTTACTCCTACATACACGCTGCTGAACCAAGCTAGAGAAAAGTCAAACCACCATGTTTACTGGGTCCACTACAAATTTATGATACATTAACTCAATTGGGGCTTCACTGCTACGAGACAATCCTTTTACATCTCCTAATTAACTATCACCATGTAGTACTGTGGCTTTTTCAAAGTTTCATCCTCCTCAAAACCTTCTTTGCACCCTCTACCCTCACCCTTTCAGCAGAGAACTTTGCCTCTCACTTTACTGAAAAAATTGAGACCATTTGCTGAGAACTTCCTCGTCTCTCCTCCCCCTCATCTACCAGATGTCTTCTGTCACTCTCATCCTTTAGCCCAGTCTCACATGAAGAGAGAGCTCTTCTCCCCGCCAAAGCAAACTCTTCCACCTGCACAAGTGATCCCTCACCATCCTGGCTCCTCCAGATCGCTCCCTCTCTCATTGCCACCTTCTCACTTATCTTTCATCCCTCCTTGTCAACTCTGCCTCTCTTTCCCTATTGCCTACAAACATGCCCATGTCTCTCCCCCATCCTCAAAAAACCCTCACTAGATCCATCCATTCCCACTGGATAACTCCGTTATTACTGATCCTTTTTCAGGAACTTCTCGGGAAGACTATCTAGCGCTTCCTTTCCTCTCACATCTCTCCAAAGTTACTACTAACCACCTCTCAGATGACAACTCTAACGGTCTTTCCTCAAGCCTCATTCTTCTAGGCCTCTCTGAGATCTTCTTTTCTTCTCCCTCTACACTATTTCACTTGAGGATCTCAATAACATTTGTATGCTGACTTGTAGCTACTTGTCCAGTTCTAAACTCTCTGCTGACCTCCAATCTCACATCTGTAACTGCAGCTGGGTACCTACAACTAAAATCCCACAGGCATCTTAAACTCAACAGGTTGAAAACTGAACTCATTATCTCTTGCCCCAAACCTCCTCTTTTCCTAATTTCCCTATTGGTGTTGAAGGCATCACCGTTCTCCCAGTTACCTAGGGTGTTCTCGGAACTCATCAATCAACCCAAACTCTTCTCTCCAAAGGTACTACCAACTTTCTTTTTACTCCTCACTCTCTTGTCCCTCACATCCTCGAGTGATTCTAAGACCTGCCTCCTTTACCTCCATGACACTGTTTGCACATATAACCTTCTCTCTTCTGACACTGCCACCACCCTGGTACAGGCTCTCATCACCTCACAACTGGACGTCTTCTTCCACTGCAGTCCATCCTCAACTCAGCTATCAAAGTGATCTTTCAAAAGCACACGTCTGATCACACACACACACACAAACACATTCGATACTCCAGTGACTCCCTATCACACCAGGATCAGATATAAAGTCCTCTATGTCATGTTCAAGACCTTCATAATCTGCCTCCCCACCTTTCTTTCTAGCTTCTTGAACTTCATTCTCCCTGCCCAGATCCCACATTCAGTGATCCAGAGACACTGGCTCTCTGCTGCCCCTCAAGACACTCATCTCCCGATCGGGCATTTCACTGGCTGTTTCCCGTGCCCAGAATCTTCTTCTTCCTCACTTCTTCTTTCTGGCTTCCCCGGCTTCCAAGTCCCAGTTAAAATTCTACCTTCTACAGGAGGCCCTTCCTAATTACCTTGAATTCTAGCACCTTTTTCCTTTGGATTATTTTCAGTTTATCCTGTACGTATCTTTTTGTGCAATTGTTTGCCTATTATCTCTCCCAGGAGACTGTGAGCTCCTTGAAAGCCATCTTTTGCCTTTCTTTTTATTTCCTGGCGCTTACGACAGTGCCCTAGCACACAGGTGGTGCTTAATAAATGTTTATTGACTGACACAAAACACGGATGAGTGTGATTCCCATCCTAACCACAGAGGAAGAAAGAGGTTACAGTGAGTGCAGGTGCAGCCCTACCAGCTCCCGGGATCTGATCACAAGGATCAACGTGGTTCAAGTACCTGCCTCAACCTTTCTGACCAGTGGACATATTAGGATACAGAACTAAAGTTTAAGAATCAGGAGGCGTGAATTGGATACATTCCTTTCCTAAAACTATCTGGAATATGTAAAAACCAATTTCTTTGCCAATGACATTCTCATTTAACAAAGTTATACCTTTTTAAAGACATTTTCCACTTGAAAAAAACATGCCTATTTTGTGACAAGTTTCCTAAATGAACGACATTAATTTGGTGATCAGAAATGTAGCATAAAAATAACATAAATCATAGAACGGGAGTCAGGAAACAGACTTTAGGCCAGGCTTGTCATCCCTCTGTGTGACCTTGGACAACAGCCACAAACACTCTATTCCTCAGATCTCTCACTGCAAAATGGTCATGATCATACTTGCAGTATTCCATAAGGATCTTGGAAGGAAGAAAATTAAATTTAGCATGAACACAATTCATGCAGCATTTGGTAATCCATGAAACTGCAGCTCAGCCTAAACGACCAAATCAGAAGAATATACATGAGAAGGCATAACACCTCAGTGATCTACTTTCCTGTACATCCTACTGTAGGGACCACCACGAAACCTTAAATATTGTTACTCATTAAATATTAGGAACCACCTTAAATACTGTCATTCACACTGGGCAGCATCCTCCTAACTGGTCTCTCTGGAAGGGCCATTGTAACGTGCTTATTTTTTCCCCTACTAAGTCCATTGCGCTATAATTCTCACCTCCTTCCTCTAGCATTCGGGCCATATCTTCTACCACGGCCACCACCTCCTCGCTTGTCTTTGGATTTTGTGATTTCACCCAAGTCCTCATTTCTCCAGGCAGGATGGCCAGGAATTGTTCCAGCACCAGCAGCTCCAGGATTTGCTCCTTTGTGTGAATTTCTGGCCTCAGCCATTGAAGACAAAGTGCCTGAAGTTGGCTCAGGGCCTCAAGGGGCCCAGCCCCTTCTGGGTAGCGAAAAAATCTGAAGCGCTGTCGAGACGTCTCAAGGTCAGACTTCTGTTCTCCTCGGATGATTTCCTGAACCCAAGGGACATCCATTCCCAGGATGCTATCTTGATTATGTGTAGTGGGAATCTGGGGGTCTGGATACACAACCATCACTTCCTTCAGAGGCATCATCTCTCCAGCCAAGACCTTCACTGAGATGCTCAAAACTATCCCAAAAGGGAGCTAATCTTTTCAGACCCAAAATGGGCACTTGTACATTACTAAGGGGAGTTGTGGGCAAAAAAAGATCAGAATTAAGAGGATGGACCCCAGCAGCCTCAATCACATAGCTGAACCATGGACCTTGAAAAAACCGTGGTGAGTTCTTGGACAAATGGCCCACAAACTGAACATCAGGGAGACTTCTTGAGTACGTGGTAAAATGAGCACTTAGAATTGGCTCAGATACATATGGGAATACAGACATTCACAAACAAATGCAGGCAGTGAGAAACATAAAGACCCTTAGTCCTCATCCTCTCACTGTAGAGCAGAAAGACTACAAATGAGCCCAATGACAAGCACACGAAAAAAGCAGAGGATGGGGAACAGGGCCCTGAATCAAGGAACCAGAAGTTACTCCACAAATTCATTGAATGGTGAGCTGAAACTTTTTTTAAAGCTTCCATTAAAAACATGTCATATTTACTGTAGCATTTAACATTAGCACTAAAGACCAAATGAATGTCATATTTTCAAAATAAGCAAAATGTCTATTTGCTCTGAATGTTAAGGATGGTATGTCTCTGAATGCATTGAGAAGCTAGCCATGTTGGTGAGATGGCAGCCTGGGTGAATGTAAGAATTAACGTATTTTTAAAAGACTTGAGTTTCACAATGTTTGAATCCTCAGATCTCTGAAGCAAAAACACCAGTAAAGGCCCAGTCACCTTTGCCAGTCACTTCTAGCCCTGAGCCAATAAACTCTGTCACTCCAAGCCATCTCTCCCAAAGCAGTTTACAAAGTCAAGCAGAAGAAAATATCCTCAGTCGTTTTCATTTTCTCTCTTCTAAGGTGGAGGCAGTGTTGGGCTTAAAGCAGGTGAGCACTGGGTTTGAATACTGATGCTGACACTCAGTAGTTGCTTGACCTTGGGCAAGATGCTTCATTTCTTTTGAGTTTCACGTTCCTCATCTGTAAAATGGGGATAATAACAAAAGAATTACCTATCTCACAAGATTGTTACTTACTTTGTAAACATTAAATTTTCAAGGAAATGCCAACATGGCAATGATTACCCCTTCTTCCCTCCCATGTTATTTGTCTTTATGAGATAATCTGTAACTAAATGAGAAATAAGATATTTTTAAAAGGCTTTGCAAACAATAAAATACTATATAAATGTTAACGATGATGATGATGACGACAACTTATTTTGGGCGTCCCTACTTTCTGCTCTGCACCTCGGAATCTGCCCCTCCCCGTGTGCCTGAAGCGTCCCCCCGAGCCCAGCCCAGCCCCTCGTGCCTCAGCCAGGGGTTACCCACTTTCTCGCCCACCCACCCGTGAGCCCACGCTCTCTGCAGCTGTCATACCCCTCCCCCATCCCGCCGGTCACACCCGCTCCGCCCTGCCCCTCCCCCTCTAATCTCCCGGTGGTAACAGCAAGGGCTTCCCGGCCCCAAAGACAACCTCTGACCTCCCGGACCTGATCACGCGGGGCTGTGGGCAGCACAACAGACACAAGTAGCATCACCCTAGCTCAGGGACCTCTTCCGGTTTTGGAGACATAAGACTTGCAAGCCCACCCAAGGAAGACGGAAAAGTACGCATGCGCGCGCGCACGCCAGCCTTCCCCAGAATTGTCATGAGAAAGTACGCATGCGCTGGAACGTTTCCCAGGATTTTCATGGTGCCTCACTAACTTTTCCCCATATTCCGCCCCCATTTCACACAGGTTCCGGAGGATGTGGCTTTTCCCAAAGTTCCTGACTGGTCACAAGCTGGTTACAAGCAGGACATGGGGTCCCTGGGGTCATTAGACTCAAACTCCTTTCTAGCAACTGGTCAGGGAGAGAAGAGAAGGGGCGGGATGCAAAATCGCCCTTGCCAACCAGAGGGCACGCTATCCTCCCGCCAATCAGAGGAGAACTACTCTCACCACTGGGAGGACACACTTCCGTCTGCCAATCAGAAGCTACGCTTCCCCCCGCCAATCAGGAAGCTCACTTCGCTCAGCCAATCAGAATCCTCTCTTCTCCCTCCTTCCTCTCTCCCCCCCGTTTCCGGAGCGTGTCTCCATGGAAACCCTCTAAGCATCTTTTTCTCATCAGCTCCTAGCAGCGTAAAGTACTCGCTACCTACCCAGGTTTTTGACCTTGTCACACTGAATTTAGTCACTGAAACGCACCATGGCTTTAATCTCCTCACTTGAGAAATGGGACTATAAGATACACTGGCAAGACACTATTCTGGTTGGGAAGAAAGCACTTAAAAGACAAGCACCCACGGAATGGGAGCTGTCCAATACACAAATCATCGAGGGAAAGCCTTCAGACCATTCAAAAGGTCCATAAAAGCCCATGACACCAAGGTCCCCAAACTTACGAAAACTATTACCAAAGAAGAAAGGAATCAAAGCGCTGCCTGGTCAGATCACAAATCAGACAGACTGTTGGGGGGAAAGCTCTATCACCCACTCAGGATTTCATTAACGTGATAACAGCTAGCTTTATTTTAGCAGCACTTTAGATGTGCAAAACGCTTTATATGTGTTCTTTCATTAGATCCTCACAATAACCCTGAAAGGTTGGTGTCATTATTAATAGCCAACATTTAAATAGTGCTTACTATGTGCCAGGCACAGCGCTAAGCACTTCACAATCATTATCCCATTTGATCTTTGCAACAATCCTGGGAGGTGGGTGCTATTATTATCTCCATTTGACAGACGAGGAAACTGAGGCAAACAGAAATTAGGTGACTTGCCCTGGGTCACATAGCTAGGTAGTGTCTTGGGCTAGATTTGAATTCAGGTCTTTCTGACTCCAGGCCTCAGATGATACAACTGAGACTTAGAAAGGCAAGGTTAAGTGGCTTGCCTCTCAAAGCCACATAGCTACAAAGTGTCTGAGACAGGATTTGAACTCAAATTAGATGTTGGCATGCCACCCAACCATAGGAGTTGAAAACTTCCAGAGCCTCCTAAAACAACAATAATACTTTTTCAACTTATAAAAAAAAGAATTACACTGAAAATCCAAAAAGTCCATGATGATTTAAATTACAAGTACAAATGGGGAGTGGGGAGACAAATTAGCTCATAGCTCACAGGTCACCACCACACTTCCAGATTTGGCTATACAGATATACATATACATATGGGGGAATGGAGGCTGTGTTAGGTGTGTTGAGGAAGACTAGTACCTCTAATGTGTACACACACTAGTACCTGGTGTGAGACCTGCCAAGCCCTTTTCAAGGTTGCTTTCCACCTTGGTTGTCTTCCTCATCCACCCACCTCTCACCTGTGACTCCAAGAAGCTGTGCAGTGGTCACACCTCAGTAAACCATTGTAGCAGATGAGCTAAACCAGATGAAGAGTAACCAAGGAGTCTCAAACCCTTGAGTCAGTTATCGGGGTGTCTAACCCAAGTAAGTCAAGACTTCCCCTGGTGGAATAGGCAGATGAGAACAATTTGTTCCACCAGCCATGAATGCAGCTGAAGCAGGCTCTGCGGAGCCCTTAGGGCTTGGTTAGACATCAGAGATGCCAAGGACATCCAGTGCATCTTGAGCCATCACCAGCCGTCCTGCCACTGCTCTGTGATGACTCTGGAGGAGAGGGAGAGAGACCAATGGTTTCGTGCAACTCTGCCTCACTTAAATCAAATTTATGCACAAATCAAAAGACATTACCATTTTACAATTTTTTTCTGTTTTTTTTAATTTTTTTTTGTTTTTTAAGAATTTTTTAAATATAAATTTATTTATTTTTATTTTTCAATATTTTTATTTTTATTTTTTGTTTTTTAAGAATTTTTTAAATATAAATTTATTTATTTTTATTTTTCAATACATTTTACAGTTTTTACCTATGTCAAAGTCCTTTGGTGATAAGGAAATGACAAAGCAGTAGGTATGGTGGCCCCGGGAGCTGTAGTCACAACACTGAACACAGGCAGCCCAGGCCATAGTGTTGTCTTCTCACCGGGAAGTAGCGGTGGGATTTGGCAGCCCCCTGGGTATCTAAGCAGCCTTTTAAGGACCACACTGCTCACTTCCTGGTGTGAGGAAAGAGTTAGAAAAGGTGCCCTAAAAATTGTCTACTTTCTCAACACTTGGGGCAGGTGGGGACCCCACCCTGTGGTTGAAACACAAAAAAGTATACAAAAACTTCTGCAAAGATGATTCCACTCACCATAGGTACGTGGAATGTGTGCATGCTTATGGACAAAAAGAAATTCAGTAGACCTGAAAGGTAAACAGCTCTTGTTGCAAGAGAACTCAGCAGATATCATATCCAAATAGCAGCCCTTAGTGAAACATGGCTGGCAAATGAAGGCCAGCTTACCAACGTTGGGGGTATATACGCGTTTTTCTGTTTTGTTTTCCTTCTTGGAATTTTTGGTTTTTAAAACTTTTTACATTATTTTTGTATTCCTTTTCATTTTATTCAGGGTGGGTGTCTCCCAATTGCTGGTGGTTACAATCTGATCATGAGGGCAGACCACACAGATACAACATAGTCACTTTTAGAAATCTTCATTTACCAGTGCCCCTACTCAGAGTATTCTCTGAAAGAACAGGACTGAAGGAATAGGAGTTTCATATCAATTTCATGTCCAATAACATTGGCTGTGTGCCCTATGACTTCCACTGGTTCTCCTTTTCTGCCCATTATTGAACAGAATCAGAATCTGCTATATTTTCAGGGTTGGTCAGGGCAAGATGGACATTCTGGAAAACACTTCTTCAGGCTTGGGGTCCCCTATCCTACTGTCATTCTATATTCAAAGAGCCTGATAGCTTCTCCTGACTCCTTAACTATGTGTAGCTGGACAGGTTTGGGGTGAATAGGCAGAAAGCAGAGTTTCTGCAGTAAGAATAGGGGGAGGGATATGTAGGTGAGTTTCAGGGACAATTGTGAAAGTCAGTTTGTGTCCATAATAACATTTTCTAGTGTTGGCTCCTAAGGATTTTAAATTTTCATGGTTCTTTCCTTTTCCTGTGGATTCAGTTCCAATTCCCCACTCTGTGATCCACAATTCCTTTTTAGTGAAGGGTTAGCCCATTGGGAGTTGGGAGTGTCTGATTCTTTATTATTATATTCTCAGTATCTATTACAGTAAGGCAGCTAAGTAGCACAGTGAATAAAGTTCTGGACCTGAAGTGAGGAAAACTCACCTTCCTGAGTTCAAATCTGGCTTCAGACTTACTAGCTGTGTGATTCTGGGCAAGTAATTAAACTTTGTTTGCCTCAGTTTCCTCATTTGTAAAATGAGCTGAAGTAGGAAATGGCAAACCATTCCATTATCTTTGCCAAGAAAATCCAAAATTGGGTCATGAAGAGTTGGACTTGACTAAAATGACTGAACAACAAATCTAGTGCAGCGCCTGGCATGTGGTTGGAATTTTAAAATACTTTTTAATTACTTGATTGAGAGCACTCTGAAAACTTCTTGGTTCAGTGACACCTATTCTTTGTTTATAGTACTCCTGAGAAACAGTTCTGAACACATCATAACTTCTTAGATTTAACAATTAGGATTTTCAGTGAATAGGATTTCAACGAGGCAAATGTGGGCTTAATTTCTGGGGGAGAAAAGATGCTAATCATTTAAAAGGTATACAGAAGTGTTACAGCTTGTTTTGAGATGAGGCAGATTTCCCGTCACTGCTAGTTTTCAATAAGAAGGTGGTTCACCACTTGTCAGGAATGTTATTGTAAAGATACTTTTGGGTAGGAGTTAGACCAAGTGGTTACATAGGCCAACTCCATTCTATATGTAGTTTTGTGATTCCTTGATCCCGTGACTGATTAAAACATTTTTTTTGGATTAATGAAATAATTTGAATCAATAAACTTAAAAATTGACATTAAAAAGCATAGACCTAACAAAATCACGTAATTGAGTTCTAAAGGCTTCCACCCAGATATTCTCAGCCAGTTGAATTTTGAAATATCCCTGAATTTGCAGTCCAAATGATCCTTCTTTTGTTTAGTCTTTTCTGATCGACATCTAGAAACTACCACCGGACTTTTTAAATTAATGCAACATTTCCATCACTCACGTCTTTCTAACATTTTGTATTCTTTGTTGGAGTACAGGAGATTTCTTGTTTGGCTCAGTTAGACTCTTTTAAGGCTTTCCTACTTAGAGGCAACTGGTAGCCCAGTGACTACAGCATTGGAGTTTGTGTTAGGAAGATCTGAGTTCAAATCAAGCCTGAGACAATTACTTTAGACAAGTCTCTTAGCCTCTGCCTGCCTAAACTGGATCACTGGTTTGACAAAAAAAAAAAAACCGATTTACTGGAGAACGAAATGGCAAACCACACCAGTATCTTTGCCAAGAAAACCTGCAAATGGGTTTACAAGGTGTCAAACACAACTGAAAAAATAATAAGGACTAAAAATTCCATGATTAGTCCTCAGGACCTTGCCATATCTTATACTAAGTACATGGTCATTGAAAGACACAAATTAAATTTCTGAATGCAGTCTAATCTACTGTGAAAATAATAGAATACAAGAAAATGGGAGGTGGTCCCCTTCAAGTTGCACTGCTGGAGACAAAGTCTTAAACTTGTGAGTACTGACTCCTTTCATCTTCATCCAGTAGGTTATCTTCATCCTCTCAGGTTGAGCCTGAAAATAAAGTGACAAAAGCAGTGATTCCACTGTGGGT